TCTCTCTCTCTCTCTCTCTCTCTCTCTCTCGCTTCCTCTCTCTCTCTGTGTTTCTCTCTTTTGCTTTTATTTCTCTCTCTCTCTCTCTCTGTGTCTCTCTCTCTCCCCCTCTCTCTGTTCCTATCTTATTGAACGGTGTTGCTGTGTGGTTCCTTGTGAATTGCACCTCACTTCAAGACAGGCAGTAACATTGGACCGCTACAACTTGGTGACTGACTCTAATCTTTATTTCTGTTTCTGTGTGATTTTTGAAAAACAAAACAAAATTTGACATGCGAGGCCTGGTAAATTATGGTGAGGGCTGGTAAAAACTGCTGTTACCAATACCAGCCCTCTGGGCCGTTGCAAAAAGATGTGAATTTCATGTCCTGATATATCACTGACTGAAACGGTAGGCATGCTGGTTTCACTAGTCTTACTATTACTCTTAGGTCTAATCACTAGAGACCATTGCCATTGGCATTGCCTAATCAAGTGACGCTGAGAGGGTCTATGTCCCCCAGCGTACTGCCGGAACGTACCCTAGTACTATCTAATATCATATATGACAAACCGTACCTCGCCTACTCCACTAACGTCAATGAGTCTAGGGAGTCACCTACGGCTACTCCCTAACCCTAACCCTAACCATATCAAATAGTTACCAGGATACGTTCCGGTATACCGGACCGTACCCAGGGTACGTTCCGGCAGTACCCTGGGGGACATAGACCCTATGGCTATGAGCTCAAGTGACAATTAAGTGCCATATCATCATCATGCACTTGTTAACTAAAGCTAACTTATCACTAATAACCAACTAATATCATAGGATAGAAAAAGCTTATCTCGTAACTATGGAATGTTTAAAGTCTCTCCATTTTTCATACCGAGTATAATACAGCTAGTAATTGGTCAAAACAATTCTTACATTCACGAAAACATAACAAAATTGACGCCATTTTAGAAAGTTGTAAAAGCGCCATCTCTAGGTTCATAAATGAACTATAAGTGCATCTTATACCCTTCACTCTATCTCATACCTTTCAATCTTATCTCATAGCCTTCACTCTTATTTCATAGCCTTCACTCTTATCTCATACCCTTCAATCTTATCTCATACATTTCAATCTTATCTCATACCCTTCACTCTTATCTCATACCCTTCACTCTTATCTTATACCCTTCAATCTTATATCATACCCTTCACTCTTATCTCAGACTCATACCCTTCACTCTTATCTCATAGCCTTCAATCTTATCTTATAGCCTTCACTCTTATCTCATAGCCTTCACTCTTATCTCATACCCTTCAATCTTATCTCATACCCTTCACTCTTATCTCATACCCTTCACTCTTATCTCATACCCTTCA